CTGGCTGAATTTTTGCGTCTGAAGTCAGTTTGAAATCAAAATCGTAATAGTGCGGGGCGATACTGACATAAACACAACATATTTGATATGAATTTAAAACAAAAGTAAACGTGAGCCTGCGATCATTTGAAAACGAGTAAATTGTCAGCGGATAACTTCAAAAAATACTCGACCTCGATGGGTCGACACCTGAGCCCGCGATTCGGTCAGGTGATAGTGGTCAGCGGATACCCTGTTTTGACAGCTGTCAATTGATGACAACATTGATGTGCAATCAGCTTTCTCCTGGGCTCCCAAAGTAGCTAGAAAGTGTGAGAGTAAACATTGGTATGCCTGTGGTGCGGACGGACGGTGGGTCGGTCGGTCACGTGATTACCAAATTTTCTGGGATGGGTAGATTTCCTTAGCAATGGGGCTTCGCCCACGCGCGCGCTTCGCGTGCGCGTGGAGCTCCGCTATAAAGGATAAAAATATTAATGCTAATACTAACGAACAGTTATGCGATTGACTGACTAAATGATAAATATGATAAGGAAAGCAACATAACAACAGTGTAGCGGGTGCTGCAGTGTAATATGCCTCAGGTTGCTAGGCAACCTAGTTTGATGTCTTTCTTGAATTTACTAAGATATGTCTTTGCCTTTGAGGTCAGAGTCTAGTGAAGGAGCGCTGGCCACTGGTTGTTCTATACTTGGGGATGTTTAGGTTATTGCAAGACCTGGTGTTTTGAGTGTGGGTATCTGATCGCTTAAGAAAATTACAGGCAAGGTAATCAGGTGCAAGTCCAGTAATGCACTTGAATGTCATTATAGAGCGTTTTTACTCACGTGGCCAACAACTGTGCAAATTTATTGGAACAATTAAAAGAAAGCGTTTGCATAAGAAAAAGAGTTAAACTCCCACAGGACTGGTTTGGTACACCAACATGGCCGCCGTTTCATTGTTTTGGGACACCAATATGGCCGCCGTGACGTCATGTGAAACAGTCTATAGAGTCCCTTTTGAATAAAATAAATATGGCATTTGCAGCTTATTTATTGGAAAATGGACTTTAGGTGGGTGGGACATTTGCACACTTTTTTAAGCCACACCATGGGGTTTTTGTATGAACTGCCTGGCCAAAAAAAATGACAAAAGCCCGGGATGGGGGATGTGTAGAAGGCACAAGTGTAATAACTGGATCCAAGTGTAATAAAGGTCCCATCTTTAATAACATTTAGACCCAAGCATAATATAGGTCCTATCTGTAACAACATTTGGACCCAAGTGTAATAAAGATCTTATTTGTTATGACTGAATTAATATGAAACATGTCCACAACAGTCTATACATCAGTCATGGTTATCTTAACTTACAAGGCTGACATCAAGGGTCATGTGACCAACGGAACGAGGAAAAAATGAACGGGAAAAAATAGCACAGAATCTAGCAATGGCTCTCGGTTTAAGTTTTGGCAAATTTATAACTGGCTATGAAACGTGCTTTTAAAAAAATTCATCACTCCAGAACAAATGAATATGTCATTCGCGTTCGCTTATATAAAATGTCAGGCTAAACAGTTTTCAGCCCAGTGGAATCTGTTATTATTTTCCCCCTCTGTCTTCTTGTCATTTTCAGTATTTCACTTACGGCTGAATTTTACTTACAGGATTTCATGACTTTCTGTACTTGTACTGAAAAGGAGTACCTTTGATTCAAAATTGTTTCGTATACATTAGTGAAATCTAATAAAGCATATGCTGTTGCTGGATACAAATTATATAGCTTTAAAAAATTGAGAATTTCCTTAATTAAATCATGATCGATCGTTATAAGTAGTAATAACCAAAGGCTACGGAGTGCGGGCGACAATGATCGAAGGTCAAAACGCTTTTGCTCCAGTGCTGTGCTTTGCGTACGTTTCACGTGACAGATGGTCAAAACACACGTGATAAGATTACGAGTGATAGAAGGTCCAAATGCACGTGATCAAATTGCGTTCTGTGCATTCCATTCATTCTTAGTGGAAGTCCAAACGAAAGCTGACTACATACATGCCAGGCGTGCGTTATAACAACTTGGAGATTAGGATTGCGGGCTCCTCTTGTCCCCCGTAACAACAAAAAATACTCTCGTAAGAGCACAGTAAAGCAGTACTGAGCACAAATTTTCTTTGGTTAATAATTCTAAGTGACAATGGCCTTTTTTTTCAATGGCCAGTGCTGTTTAGCTAATAGTAAAATACTTTTCCAGCCAAACTACCAGTTTGACGGTGGCATGAAAGCCATGAAGATAAAATCAATGCTGCTCTGTCTGAGTATTTCTTTTTCTATTTTGGCCATGAAGATGTTAGCAATTCCAAAGGCTACGGCCATTTTCGTGCCCATGGCTGTTCCATGGGTTTGAAGATAATCTTTCAAGTTAAATTGGAACGAGTCAGTTTCTTGTAGTATCAGACTAAGCGTTTGGCTTAAAAACCTGGTAGGGACTGGAGGGTTTCCTTGGTGAAATTCTTCGTATGCAAGGCATACAGTGGTAATACCCTCTCGTTGTGGTTTTTTTTTTTAATTGTGACGTCCATTGAAACATGTATGGCACTTTAAGCAGTTTAATCCTCTCGATGAAGTTAATAAAGTCTGTCGTAGCTTTAAGATACGAAGCTTGTAGTTGTGCTATAGGCTGAATAAGGTGGTCAACAAATGCTGAGATCCGTTCTGTAGGTCCGGAACACCCTGATATAATAGGTCTTCCGACAGGTGTCGGTTTGTGGATTTTACTAAGTGTGTAAAACACGGGGATTCGCGGAGGACAGGGCGTAAGGGAGAGCCATTTAGCCGTCGTTTTATCAACGTGGCCTTCTGAGAGCAGTGTTTTAATAAGTGGTTGAGCTTTTTTGGTCGTAGTTTCAACCATTGGTGTGTCTAGAGGTCGGTAGTTATTTAAACCATCAAGCAGAACCTGACCTTCGTTAGTTTGTCCTGTCTGCTCATCAATACGGTGGTGTTTACCTTTATCAGATTTCTTAAGAATAATGCTTTTGTTGCGCGATAACTCTTTGACAGCTTGGCGCTCTCCCGTAGATATATTATCTTCTGGCTTGTCAAATTCAATACTTGCGAGCTCTAATTTTACCTCCTCTAGGAAGGTCTCCAGAGCTACAGATAGCTGGACTGGTGGTTCACAGTCCGACTTCACATGGAAAGGATGAGGTTCGTTTTCTTCCTCTTGAAAAATATATTGTAGTCTCATTCGTCTCGCAAATTGATTGAAATCAGCGAGAAGCTGGCGCCTGATAAGATTTTCTTTTGTCACAGGTGTAGGGATAAACTTTAGACCACGCAATAGTAGAGTAATTTGCTTATCTGTCAGTTGTTCATTTGACAGCTTTTTGATATACTGTTTGCGTGACTCAATGGCGTTAAAAAAGCGCTTTTTGTCTTTGATTCTTCTCCGCTCTTTTCTTTTGCGGTTTTTGGCCGCTTTGTTATCTCTGCGGTTTGCTTTCCCTTTCCCCTTACTTCTAAGGAGTCTGATAAGAGACAAGAGTAAGATTCACTTTGTTTATTCGCACACACTTGTGATCTCATTTGTTCTACTGAATACATCGACTTCGCTAATCTTGGTCTTCAATTTACATTGTCATCTTTGTTGGCAGTTTTCTTTCTGGCTGGTGATTGCGTTTTCCGGTGAGACGTCTGCTTAGTATTCCTATATTATTCCTTACAGTATTCCTGCAAGATTTATATTGTTCGAGTTTACGAAGCTTGTTTGTTAATCGTTCTGCGCGCCTGTAGTGATATTTCACCAGCGCTTCTACGAGAGCCTGTTCCCGCTTTCTTTCTGATCGAGCCTATCTCGTTCTTAAATCGCCGCCTCAGTTCTTCGTCAGGTGTTGACTCGTTTGAGATGTGTTAGAGATGTGTTAACTCCTTGTGCTGCTCGAATGATTCTTCTGACAAGTTCTTCGATTCCTTCCTCCACCGTGTCTAACGCGGGAGGGCGGGAATGGGCAAGAATGGGCGGGATTCTTCATGGAGCAGTCCATGGAGCATGGCAGATTTTTCGGTTTCAGTCCCTCTCGGAAACAAAACTGATCAAAAATTGTAGTCTCCCTTCTTGATTTAAAAAACATGCATCTTGATTTAGAAAACGTGTCTCTTGATACATGACATGAAACACGTGGGAATTGAAATTAAATTCTACAATCTTGACACATTCAAAAAGCAAATTGGTGTTAATTTTATCGATCTTGATAGTGAATTGGTGAATTTGAATGATAAAGTTGCATCTTTGATATTTTGTCACGTTTGGCGTAGCATATTCCAAGCTGTCCGGGGAAAAATAACTTATTTACATATTTTTGTGGCTATCTACGGTGGCCCACAACTGTCAAAACCGAAAACCTCACGGCAAAAACAAAAACATCACGGCAAAACCAAAAACCTCACAGCAGTGAGGTTTTTGGTTTTGCCGTGACGTTTTTGTTTTTGCCGTGAGGTTTTCGGTTTTGCCGTGAGGTATTTTGTTTTTGCCGTGACAGTTGTGAGCCACCGTAGCTATCAGTTTAGTACTTAGACCCTGTTTACATGGAGTGGGGGACCCCGGTCTAGTGGGGTAAGTTTCTTTTGTTTTGTGTCCCCCAGAGCGTGGAAACCAACCCCACTAGACCGGGGTCCCCCACTCCATGTAAACAGGCCCTTAGTGGTTCATAGAAAAAGGGGCTTTTGTTAAAATACTCACGTGATCGTGACGTTAGAAAAATATTTTGATGTATTCTCACTCGTGGTCACTCCAGATCATTCGTGGTCATTCGTGTGTACAAACTGGTACACAGCTAGGGACCCCAGAGGTTCGTCTGTGGAGCAGGCTAAGGACTATTGCGAGTATTACATCCTCGAGTACAATTTTCGAGTCACGCACCGAAACTGAAACATGGCATTTCCTGAAAAAAGCGTTTCACTCCATTCGTCGTGGAAATGAAATGAGTGGAACCCTTTCTGGTGAAGCAAGCTTCTTCGGCAATGGCTTTTACTGGAACAGCATTCAAATGTGAAGGAAATGGAAAAAAGCTTGCAAGATCTCAGTCTATCCCATTTGATGGCGCGACTCTTCCAGACGTTGCAGCAGAACGCATCGCCACGTTTTTACACGGGAAAGATCTTATAAATCTGGGGAAAACTTGTAAATTCTGGAACGATGTATCTCGAAAGAACTTCGTGTGGAAATTACTTGTCGAGAAAAGGTTTGGGAAGCAAGCAGATCTCGAAGCCGGGTCAAGTTCGCCCGTGGATTTCAAAAAGCTCTATTTTAAACTGGCAACAAGCAGGAAACCTGCAACTGCTTTTGCAGTAGAGCATTTGGGTGATCGCTACCTGGAAAAAGTCAAAGATGATGAGAGCGAATTTGGAGAAGTCATCCAACTCAACACAGTTTGTTGGTTGCAAATTGATCAGTTCTTCTCAGGCGTACTTCCGGGAAAATATGCGTTGAAGTGGCGCATGAAATTCGATGAGGTGTATGTGAATGGAAATGGGAAGGTCATCGAATTTCGAGCAAGGCCAGAGCAAGGCTGTGGAAACGAACTCTGTTCAAAGTGGTCGGAGAATGACTTTAGACGAGCAGAACGTCGCCATGGAACTCAAAAATGGTTCTTATACACCATAGGAGAATTCAATGTCACTGCTTTGTGTAAAGTACGCGTGGAGATCATAGGACGAGTGCCATACTGGTGTGGAGGAATATCATGGGATTATGCAGAATTAAAGCCACTGAATTAATTGAAGACACTCCCAAACTTTTACAGGATAGCCTGTGTAAAAGTTAAATAATTTTTCCTCAAGTGGGGAGGGGGGGGGGGAGATGGGAGATTGAGGAAGTATTGGTGGGGGGGGGGGGGGGGGGGGGGGGGGAGATGGGAGATTGAGGAAGTTGGTGTTGTAATGAAAAGGCAGAACAATGTGTAACAATAAAAGTTGTCTTGTTCATCCTATTCAGTATTCCTTTTTCATTTGAAAAGGAGGGAGTCACCAGCAACTTTGTTATGTAACACCGAGAGCCCATTATTGAGGCCCTCTTTAATAGGGGGTATGCACGTCCCGTCCCTGAATGTCAAAATCCATCGTTTCACTTATTGAGGAGGAGACCATTTCCTGTTTATATTCTACTATTGTTTTTGATATTTTCCTCATCGCTGTCGCAGTTTCAACCCATCTTAAGACAAAATCCATCAGGAAATTGAATAATTTAATTTTTCAGTGGACAAAAACTTTGTACCAGAATAATTTAAAGAATATTGCGTTCTTTTTTACATTTTTCAAGGACTAAAGAATGCCAAATTTCACAAGAATTGTGAAAACACAGGTAAAATAATTGTAAAATTTCATCTTCAAGATGTCATTTTGTGAATATTTGACATTTATTTTCCCGGGCTCCCGTGAGAAATTTTCTTTGGTGTTATTAAAGATGACTAATTGTGAAAATGTAAAAAAGAATGCAATACACTTTAAATTATTCTGGTACAAGGTTTTTGTCCTCTGAAAATTAAAATTACTCAATTTCCTGATTAATTTCATTTGTCACCATTTCATCTGTCTTGTGTTACTGTACTAAGGTCATGACCCCTTTAAGCCCCAATATTCACATACAAATTCTCCAAACTGATCTCCATACATTTCTATGAAGAATAAGTTGAGAGAATTTGATAAAAGATCAGAGAATTTTCCCTCAGGTGTTATAGTATTAATTCTCACAACCTATTCTCTTGATTGTGTATTAATGTTAATGCCCGGAGGAGGTAGTTCACATAATAAGCCTGTGAGAAAGGGGGCATTGGGGCCTAATAGTAACTGCAAGACTGCAAAAAAGAAAATTGCCTAAACCCGCAAGAAAATATTGATCAAAACTGAAAACATCAAAAATAGAACTAAAACTGTTAGGAAAATTAGTCCTCCTTCCAAGAATTTAACTTGTTTAAAACTGGAAACCACACTGAATACCAAAAATCAGAATAATTGCATTGTTTTTAGCTGAAAACAAAAAAAACAAATACTAATGCAAGGAAAGTTGCAACCACAAAAGACACAATCTGAAAGACTGTTGAATTTAGATTAAAAAACCAAAAAATATCCCAAAAATGTGCAAATCTGCAAAACCAAAATTCACAATGTCCCTCTTTATGAGAGCATTTTCACAGATTGCTTTTAACACACTTCTGCCCACTCCTGACCCCGAGTATTTTGTGACTAACATACCGTAAAATTCCGAAAATAAAGCCCCTCCATGTATAAGCCCCTCCAAATATAAGCCTCCCAAAATCGTAACGCAAAAAACCCTCCGTTAAATCCCCCCTCCGCATATAAGCCCCCCGGGGTGCTTGTACTTGGAATTTGCCCTCGAATACAAAGTAAAACAAAGCAAAAATGGTAAATTTTCTTTTCACTACAGGCTAGCCCAATCGATTTTGAAACGCAAATTTCCCTCCGTACGTAGGCCCCTCCGAATATAAGCCCCTCAAAAAGGGCCTTTGAAAAGTATATAAGCCCCGGATTTTACGGTAATTAGTTGAGCCCTCGTTGAAAACGCGAATTTCTATTTGTTTCATGTATGAGTTCACATATACGGTGTTCGAGGAGTATCACAAATAAAATTTACTATGTCTGATTCTTTTCTTGTCTTGTATGATTTTGATATTTTGCCTATGATTAAAAGGAAAAATCCTTTTGTTTTTATTGTGTCATTTTGATTTTAAATTTGTCGCATTTGATTTCTCCAAAAACAATTTTGATTTCCAAAGTTTGTCGCGTTTGCTTTCTCAAATGCATTTCTGATTTCCAAAATTTGACGCGTTTGATTTCTCAAATGACACTTTTGATTTCCAAAATTTATCGCGTTTGATTTCTCAAATAACACTTTTGATTTCCAAAATTTGTCTATGTTTAAATGTTGTCTTTTGTTATATACATTGGTGTGCATGAAAATGTATTAGCAAAGAATAGTAACATTCACTACTAGATAAAGTTATGGTAAGATGATTTATCACTCAAAATCTTGTACCAGCCTAATGAAACATCTTGGTGGATGTTGATTGTGTGCAAGAAGTATTTAGAATTTGTGCAAAATAACCAGGTGGTCACATGCAACAAAGAAGGTCTACCAGGAAGAAAATTATACATTTTTTCTGGAGACTGACTTTTGATGGAGGGCACTAGCTGTCACTAAATTCTCAACAACATCAAAGCTCTCAAATACTCTGCACAATTTTATGATTAGTGTAACGATAGCATCAAATGCTTAATAAGGACAAACTCATCTTTAATGGCTACCTCAAAGCTACTACAAAAGCACCTGTTTTTAGGTCACGTGGCTTACAACCACAGGCCTACCATGACACCTTTTCTTCTTTCTTTTTTAAAAAAATAAAATGAAAATAACAAAAAATTCATTGCACATTGGGCACTTAATAGTGAAAGCCCAACAACATCAGCCAAAGAGCAAAGAATGCAGAACATTTTGAACAAACAAAGTCAACTGTTTCAAAAGATAAAGTGTTCATTGTCTAAGCAAGAAAAAGAGAGAGAAAAACCCAATTTTTTTCACTGTCTCCTACAATCATCAGGTGTAGTCAAGCATAGTCCTTTAATTTATTAAATAGCCAGGGGGTTTTGACAACCAACCAGCACTTGTGATCCTATTTTCAACTAGCTGAGACTCGTCAAGCGTTGTACACAGAGAGTGGGCCTTGCTAGATATTGCAACAGGGGTTTTGGTTGGCCGTTTAGACTTGTTTCCCTGAGCTGGCACTGTTGGGAATGACTAACCCTCTGTTGGCTGATGTCCTTGGAATTGACTGCGTTTTCTACTCGTCCATTGCTTTGGGGGTAGCCGGGGGAGCTGGTTACATGCTCAGTGCCAGGTGATCACAAAAAGTACTCACATTCTGCAGAGTTAAAGGGTGGTTCATTGCCACTTAGCAATTCATTAGGTGTTCCATGTGTAACAAAATGTCTCTTAAGTTTCTTTATGATGACAGTTACTGTTTTGCTGTGTAACTGATCCAATTCGAAGTACCCAGAGTAGTAGTTTACTGTGCAGAGACAATTCTTGTTATCAAGTGTGAAGATGTCAGTGGCAAATTTCTCTCAGGGCCTTGATGTGGGCTTATGATAGATGAGTGGTTCTTTGGTCTGGTTACTCTGAAGTGACATACAGACTTTGCATTTCTGGATGTAGTCAGTGATTTTGGCATTCGCGCCTGGCCAGTATACTGTCTCCCGTGCTCTGCATAAACAGCCTTGCGACCCAATGCGGGAGTCGTGTAGTTTCTGCTTGATCTTTTGTCTCAGGGTCTGCGGTATGATCCATTGCTGGCCCTTGAATATTACACGATCATGTACTGAGAGCTCATCTCAGATTTCAAAGTACCGTATTTCCTCGAATAATAGCCGTCCCTCAATTAATTGCCCCCCTCGAATAATCACCCCCCTTTGACGGAAATACTTAAAATAATCGCCTCCCTCGAGTAATCGCCCCACCCCCGCCCCTCTTGCCATTTTCTCTTCCTTTTATCCCCTCCCTGTCAAGTTGAAGTGCAATGAGATTCAGCAAAACTGATCAGTGACGATTCAAGCTCTGAAAATTAGTCAAGGAACTAAATTTGGAACACTTAAAAAGCCCATGATCAGTTTTTTTGACGTGATTATTTTTTGATCTAATGGGAAAATAAAACAAAATTTTTAGGACACGACTTCCAGTGAGCAATATTTGAAATACACTGGCACAATCGCCTCCCTCAAATTATCGCCTTCCCTCAAATAATCACCCCTTTTTTGTGCGAAAAAAATATAATCCCCCCCAGCTATTATTTGAGGAAACACAGTACCGGTGAATGGCTGCTGGTTATTCATCCATTGTATCTAGGAAGCCATCCAAGATTGCTTTCTTTACCAAACTGTACAATTGGATCACAAGCCGTCTCTCTGCGAAGTTCCTTAAGGTGGTGGTCTGGAACAGGAAGGAATGAGTGGCGTGGATGCACTCCACCTCTGATTCTGTGGCTGATCGCTCATAGGGTCACTCTCACTAAAGAACTTGAGTACTGGCACTTTGGAGACAGCTTCTTTAATCTTCTCAAAGGCATCTTCCTGTTCGTGAGTCCAATTCCATTCAGCTTTCTTAAGTGTTAGACGGCGCAGTGGCTCACACAGTTCTGATAGATCTTGTAGGAACTAAATTTTTGCTTGAAGTTTTTTAGGATATGCTTTAAGCCCATTTCTTGTCATTACATGCCCGATAAATGACACTTCACTGCACTTTAAATGGAACTTTTCCTTTTTCAGCTTGATATTTGTTGCTCTGCAACGATCGAGGAGGTTCCTCGAAGAAGGAAATCTTGTTCTTGATCTTGAGGTGGAGCAGGGCCTCGAATGTATGGTAACCGAACCCACTCGAATACAAATGAGAGGCTCATTTATCACTAAGAGCTTGATCGATGTTGTTCTCACTAACCACCCGGAACTATTTGAGAATTGTGGGGTACATGATCCTGCGCTCAGTGACCACGGACTTGTTTATGGATTCCTGAATGAGACGGTAAAACACCAGAAAGGCAAGATTGTAACATTTAAATCTCTAAAGAATTTTGATGTGGAGAAATACAAAGAAGATCTAATGTATGCTCCATGGCATGTTAGTGAAATTTTCAATTCATGTGACGACAAGGCAAATTTTATGGAAATGCTTCTGTCCAGTATTGTCAATACACATATGCCTACGAAGAAGA